CTTTTTTTCTTTTTTTCTTTAGTGATGGAAGGCCTGACAGCTGTGACCCTCCACAATAAAAGCCTCACTGTGTTTGGTTAAATCATGAAGGTCAGCGTCAGTAAAACGGCAATAAGCAGCTGATCCACAAACCAAATGTCATATGACACATATTACACATATTACACTGCAGCAGCACCTTATTTATTGCTGTCAAATGTCAGTGAACGCCTCACACTGAAATAAAAACTATTTGTTCTGCTTTAAATATTAAATGCTCCGTTTATCAGGAGAGGAAAAATACAAACGTTGTGTTCAAACAGGAAATAAAGTCACTCTTCAGGCCCAATAATTAACGATTTGTTTCATCTTTCTTTTAATTAATTACCCAGAAATGAATTCGGTCAAATTCTTGAAAACGAATTAAATTCAGCAGAAAAAACGGTGAAATATTTCCATTTCACTGCCAGTGGTTTTTAATTAACCGACCTCTTTTAGAACCTGAACGCATCACCAGATATTCCTAAAATAAAAACTAAATGTATTTAACAAAAGCTCAGTTCAATAATATTTAATATATTTAATACATTCAATACATTTTCGTTTTTTAATTTGATTTTGTTTTTGGAAATTCTATTATAAACAAAATAAAAGCAAAACGAATAAAACACAAACGTTTTTATAAAAGTTTCATCTAAAATTATTTTATTTTGTTTGAAAAAAAGCTTTTATTGTCTCATATTATATTATATTATATTATATTATATTATAAGAAGTGTCGGCTCCTCTCGGCTCCGTGTCTTCGCGGCTTCGTGCGGCCGCTTCGGGGATCATGTTGGCGGGTAATTAGCGGCTAATTACAGGATCATTAGAGACATTTCGCGGCTCTGCGGCCAAAATGTGAGAAAAAGCTTCAGATCAAAGTGAAATCTGTCGGGATGTGTTCAGGTTCACGGAGCTGCGGCGGAGGTTACAGCCCACAAAGAGCCTCCAAATCCGGCGACAGCGGCGGCGCTTTGAGGCGCTTTGAGGCCGCAGGAGGTTCACCGTGTTCGGCTTGTTGAGCAGCATGTCGGAGGAGGGAGAGCCGAGGGAGAGAGACAGCGAGGGAGACAGACAGGCGGGACCAGAGACCGGAAGAAAACAATAAATAAACAACCAGAAAGAAAAATAAAACAACTAAAGACAAAACGGAGAAAAATATCAACAACAACAACAACAACAACAAACTTCTCACAAATAAAATCAAAATAAAGATGATTCTGATTTTCTGTAAAAAAAATTCATCCAAAATAAAAATAAAGTGTAAATAAAATAGTTTGAATGTTTATTGATGAATGTTCGAGACCAGATCCAGAACCAGGACTCATCAGATCCACCTGACACCGCAAAGATCCTCATCAGGCCGGCACAGACGACAAGAACAACAGCAAGAACAACAACGACAATAATAATAATAACAATAATAATAATAATAATAATAATAATAATAATAATAATAACAACAACAAATAAACAGATCAGAAACAGGGTTTAGGATCTGGATGATCTGGATCTGGATCTCACAGGACCTGAACCATTTACGAGTTTTTTTACTTTCATTGAGCTGCTGAAGAGACAAAATCAACTGATCAATTTATAATTGATTGTTTTTATTGTCTGATTTGTCTTTGGACTCTTAACTTATTACTGATCGATTATCAATAATAATAATATTCCTCTAAAGCATTTTATTGATCACGTATCAGCAGTAACTTGTCATCAATAACCTTTCAGTGAAAACCTCCAAATAAATGTGCTGATGAGTCCAGAAGCTCGATCAATCAATAACAATGAAGAAACTGTTAAATGCTGTTAATAGTAAAACTGAACAACGATCAATAATCAGAAATTAACAAGAGATCAATAAATGTTTCTTCGTTTTATTTGAAAATGACAGAATAAGTTAAGAACATGAAGAAGAACATGCAGCAGAGTCGAAAGCTCACGAGAAACAAACACACAACGAGGAGGAAGAGGAGGAAAACAGCCACTTTTTTCCAGAAAAGAGAAGAAGAAGACAACCTCCCACTTCATTCATGCACATGGTAAAATAATATAATCAATAATCAATAATCAGTGATGGACAGTTTAAATACACAGAGAGGAAGTGAGTTCTCCTTTTACACAGAGTGAGAGTCACCAAACAAAGATCCTTTATTACATCAAACTGATCAATTATTAATCAATGAATGGAGTAAATGTTATTATTGGGGATCAATTATATTGATTCTGATCAAACTGTTTGCTAATAAATGTTGTATTATTTATTAATTATTATAGGAAACTTGGTCTGCAGGCACAGTCTCCTTTTTATTGATCAATAATTCAATAAACATATTCATTGATCGTGAAGATAATAATCATTATGTTTCTCCAGCAGGAGGAAAAGTGTAAGGCTGCCCTTTAGTACTGATGGTGTATATTGATCACTGGTATTGATCACTGATATTGATCACTTGATCAGTTTTCAGAAATGTTATGTTTAAAAATTATTGTTATTATTATTATCGTCTGACACCAACTGAAACTTACAACGTGGTCCAATAATCAGCGTCTGAACGCCATCATCCAGTTTATTGTTATATAATATAAATGATAGATTTACTGTCCATAAATAACAACAACAGTTTCCTTCTCATCAGCTGAACAAAGTCTTCCTGTTATTAATAATAATATTAAAAATATATATGAAATTAATGTTTGTCATCAAACAAGTGAATTTATCTCAATCAGTGAAATAAAGAAATGAAGTAAAAGTAGTCCAATGTTTTCACACTGATATTGTAAAGAGATGTTTATGATCAATAATCAATAAAAAGATGTGATCAACAGATTATTTCAGCAAAGATCAGACGGAGACAGACGAGGCAGTCTGAGCCTTTAAATAAAACCCTTTGATCTGTGTGTGTGTGTGGGGGGGGGGGGTCTCACTCTGAGGGTCGCGACCCCTCCGGAGGTCAGCGTAGACGCAGGCCAGGTCGTGGGAGAAATAAACCCTTCCTCATATTTCTGATCAAAATACAGGAATTATAATAATTAATCTGTCAGTGTTGCCATGACAACCACATTATCATCACCAGGTGCCCTTTGACCTTTAAATCTTCACAGAAACAAATCAGTGGTTCCCAACCTGTGTCTCAGGGCCCTCTGAGGGGTCTCGCATATTAACGGCGAGTTGCAGACAGAGGACAGGAAGTGATCGATCAAACTGAGAAACAACGAGTAGCTTTTCTGTGGCGGTGGCAGGAATACTCGCTGTCGGACCTTTCCTCGGTTCCTATTCCTCGGTTCCTATTCCTCGTCATTAGTCAACTGTCTGTCATTTGAAAAGACAGAGATGTGAACCGGTCCCTTTGGGCCCCTCAGGGGCCTTTAAGTTTTAGTGATTCCTCTCAAACTAAATTCAGAGTGTGACGAGAGGGGTTGATGCTCTGTCTCTGGAGTGGCATCCCTATTGGACGAGTCGAGTTCGAGGCCTGAAAAGGATCCTGTATTTCTCGCTCTGGAAACCTCGTTAACTCTAGCGACGGCAGCGTGGGAACCTCTGACATAAAGGAACCGCGGGATCATCTAACATGGGCCCATTGCACCAACTGGTCTTAAGCTCCTAACTTGGCATCGACACCCAAACTAAAAGTTACACCGGTTGCACCATCAACGCACCAGCCTCCGTCTGGATGACACTGGGCGTCACATCCAACCAGTTCGTCAATGTCTTTTTCTGGAAATGGTTATCTAACGAAGGCTGAGCAATCATTGATGACCTCCGTTATTTCTCTACCTCGCACTCGTTCCCGTACAGCTCTATTCGTTGCAATGTGTGAAACCTCCTTTTCCTTTTCTTTGATCCTCCATAACGTTGCCGCAATTTAAAGATGATTAGCTACAAATTATCAGGACAGCGGGAGACTGTATCCTAGCAATGCACACTGCTTGGCAACAGCCACGGTGGAGCGGGCATTCACACGGACGCACGTAGATAAGATTAAGCTTAAGTTTGGTTGGTGCAATCAACATAAACTCTCGGTTTTAGCAGTTAGGATCAGGATTAGTAAAGACCAGCTGGTGCAAACCATCCCTGGACTCTGGTCTGACTGATCCTGGTGTCAAGTCTGAAATCTTTGTTTGTGATTCTGTTCCCCCTTTTCCACCAAATTGGCTCTGGTTCTTGAACCTCATGCTATCTAGAGCAGTGGTTTTTAAACTTTTTTCATTAATGTACCCATTTAAAATATTTTTTGAGCCCAGCACCTCCTGACCAGCCAGAACCGATCAACCTTGTAACTGAAAAAACACTTAACTCAATTAACAACCGGCTTTTATTTGTTTTAATCACTGACCTGCCTTTATTTGGAACAGGCCTTTAATTCAGCAAAGATGGTATTTCTACCATCAAACTATTTAAATCATCGATAAAGTTAGACGTTGCTCCCACTCTGAGGCCTAAATATTCCTGATACGGCCGCTGCCATCTTATAGTGGTAACAATCTGCGTTGTCCTGACATTGTGAGGTTGATTTTTGATGTGTGGTTTCCTCTGCTGACTGTCTACACTGATCATGTGACTAATTGCCAACAAGTGTAAGAAATAGCCCAAAGGCAGCCATTTTGTATTTGAAAGCACCCCCTCTGACACCTCAGATTTCTGCAACAATTACGGACTTCTACTGTTTGTGACTCGGTGTGTAAGAGGAGAACACAGACCTGGGATCGGTTTTAACAGCCGAGTGTTAACGTGTCTCTTTGTGTCCTGGTTTGGTCACAGTGCAGGAGTTCAGAAACCAGCAGCAGCAGTCGATCCGGTTCAGCATCATCACAGTCAGACAGGAAGTCCAGGACGGCTGCATGCAGAGAGTCCAAACAGGAAGTGCAGCGGGTACTACGAGGTGTTGAGGAGCGGTCTGGGGTACACCCCCTGGTAGTAGGAGGCCTCCAGAGGCTCCATGGTCCTCCCCCCGAGGCCGGACGCCCCACCAGCACTGTAGGAGGAGTACTGCAGCGCTTCGTAGGCCTTCAGGTCCAGTTTGTGCTGCTGCTCTGAAGACGACATTAAGTTATTAATGGAGAACGGGTGGTTGAAGGAGTAGTGGGGGTCTCCTTTCAGGTGCAGTTGGGACTCGTGCGCCATGGAGTGGGGGGGCAATGACAGGGAGGACAGGAGCTGTGAGCCGGACACCTTCAGGTCTGACGCCCCGCCAACACCTCCCCGCAGGTCCAGACCGGGAGGCGAGGCAGCCTGGCTGGAGGAGGGCATAGAGGAGGAGTCCAGGAGTCCTGGAGGTTTGATGGAATCCCCAGAAGGAGAAGCTCCTCCTCCTCCCTGCTCCTTCCTGCCGTCGGATTTTGGCGACATCTTCTTCTCGCACTTGAACCTCTTCTGGCGCCGCAGGTAGCAGCCGTTCTCGAACATGTTCCCTGAGTCCGGGTGTAGGGTCCAGTACGAGCCCTTCCCCGGTTTGTCCGGCGAACGCGATACCTTGACAAAGCAGTCGTTGAAGGACAGCGAGTGCCGGATGGAGTTCTGCCACCGCTGCTGGTTCTGGCGGTAGTACGGGAACAGGTCCATGATCCACTGGTAGATCTCGCTCAGGGTCAGCATCTTGCTGGGTGCCTGCTGGATCGCCATGGTGATGAGTGAGATGTAGGAGTAGGGGGGTTTGGCGTGTGGGTAGCTCCGTCTGAACGCCTTGTTGTCGCGGCCGCGGTTTAGCCCTCCGCTGCCATACGTCATGCCAGGGCTCACGGTGGGACTCATGCCCCCGTATGGGTTCAGACCCATCGAGGCCTGCTGGGCCGACACCGAGCCCATACTTGATGGGCTCAGAGCCCCGCCCATCGAAGCCACGCCCCCTCCCAAACCCGACATGGCTGCTGGAGCCGAGCTGCCCATCCCCCCCACTGGAGCGGGGCTCAGACCGGTCCCACTGTACGACATATTGAAGGAGCCTGACGTGGTCCCGCTGCTGGACATGTAGCCCGACATGGAGCCCATCCCGAGACCAGAACCCATTCCACTGCCTGCCATCGGAGAGTACATCTGCAGAGAGACCAGAGACTGTTAGACCAGAACCAGTTAGAACTGAACCAATTAGTCTGGTCTTACTGGTCCTGGTTCTAGATCTTGTTACACTAAAACCATTGAGACCAGATTTTAGTCCAGACAAAAGGCAGTTTGAGGAGACCCAGTTACACCTAAAACCAGGACCCAGTTCAGAAACTTGAAACTAAATTCTTGATTCAGTTTAAATCTCTGAAATGTTTTTAAAATGTTTCTTTAATCTTTTTCATTTAACTTTTGTTTTGTTTGTTTTTAGCTTTTTGTTAGTTTATTTTTTATGTTTTTGATTCTGGCCTTCAGGTTTGACCTCTGACCTGGTTTCTGATCTGGTCCAGACTCATCCGGACTACCAACACTGCACACTAACAGTGAGTTATCGACCTGAAAGTATTTATTTATTGATTGATTTATTATTTCTGATTTATTGAACAGTTTCCACCAGAGCTTACGTTGACGATGAATTTAGATCAATATTGGATCAATATTGGACTACAAACTGTGACAGCTTTAAACTTTACCTTTAACATGTTTGCATTTGTCAATTGATTATTATTGAATAAAATATTGTTAATTAATCTTCATTTCAGCCCGGATAATAAACACAGAGCCATTAATTTGAAAAGAAAACCTTTTAATTTGAAAAGCTTTTCATTAACTAATTAGGCAGATTTTAAGGTGTCAATTACATCATTTAAGATGTAATGACGGGATTACCTCCTTAATTAATCTTCTAATAACGCTAATATCTAAGATATTAATGAATGTTTTTACACATTTATTTTGCCATTATTGATCAGCAGACAGACAGACAGACAGACAGACACAAACATTGATGTTTTCATTTCCAACTGAATCCATTAATAATTTCATTAATAATGAATCCATTAACTTCCATCACTAATAACCATTAATGGATAAAACAATCAATAAATATCAAGTGTTTATTTAATGGCTCAAATTAATAAATCAGTTCAGAATTATTGATCATCTAAACCGTCAGACAGCAGTTGACCTTTAACCTCTGTATAGTTCTGATTCTCAATATTTAACAACTTATTGATATTTTATATTTTATGTCATCTCTGATTAATGAAATGGACTGAATCCACAGACAGACAGACAGACAGACAGGTGACATTCTACCTGTCTGTTTTCTGTCGTTATATTTTTGTAATAAATATATACATTATATATATATATATATATATATATATTATATAATTTCTATAATAATAAATGAGATTTGAATCTATATTTTATTGTTTTGCAGCTTTAAATCAGATTTGATCCGCGCGCCCTGCTACAGCTTCCTTTTCTCTTTAATCAATAATCAAACATCAATAATGTCTAATATCTCCTCCTAAATAATATAAACTTTATATATGAATGATTTCCTGCTGCAGAACAACAGAATCATATTTAATAATAATTATTATTAATAAATCAGATTCTTTAATATCAACAACCTGCGGAACAGTTTGTGTCCAACTCTAAACTACACTAATAGAACAATAAGATATATAACGACATCAACACAATAATGAATTATTAATACACAGTTGTATCATTTATAAAGATCTTTATAATAATTAAAGCTCCACGCGCTTCAGCGGCCGCTTTGTCCGATAATCCGGATTATTATCAACTCATAACTCCGTGATTATCAGATGATTATCAGATGATTATTTGTCAATAATGTTATCTAGTGTTCACAGCGCGGGAAGGTAAAACTCAGCTGATCAATAAATTGAGGGATTTTTGGTTCCGTAGAAATCCTCCATTCAGAACAGAAAGACTCAATTTAAGTTCGACTGCGGCTCAAACATTTCATTCACCGGATTCTTTGATTGAATTTTATTTCTCAGTTTGATATAAAATGATCCAAACTCTGAATTATTGAATGTTATCAGATTAATATTATTAATGCACTTTATTGATTCTTAAATTCTTTTAAATCACAGCAGCAAAACTACACTGAACGAATCAAAGATCCTAATAAAGAATAATACACTTACTAATAATAATAAAGAATAATAAACTTAAGAATAATAAACGTAATAATAATAATAAAGTTGTGAAGATGAATCTGAGCAGACCTTCAGCTCTATAAACATTTAATCAAATCATTGATTTTATAATAAATGTTAACATTTCGGTTTTCTCTCTCTGATGGAATCTGACCTTTTACACTTTGGTGGAAATAATAATAATAATAATA